GCTAGGAATGAGGATTATAAAATAGCGTGCAACGTTGTTAATTCACAGTCTTGTAACTCAGAGTTTGTGGTAATTTAACAAGTACTAAAGCGGACTTCTTCCCATATTTAAGGAAATGGTTTGTGAAGTAATTTAAATGGGAACAAATGGCAGGGGCCATATTTAAACCCTTTAAAGGAACAAACAGTTTTTAAGCAGTCAAGCCACATTGTTCCATACACTTCCATAGCTGCTGTCGATAAAAAATTCTTATTTATACTAACATTTCAATATTCAGCATTTACATTGTTTCAGTATGTGTAGAGCTGACTACTTAAGCAAATATACTTGGAGAAACTGACATTTGTTTTGCTGTCATTTAAACGTGCTGCATCTTGTTCCCCTTTTTGTAAACTGATGCCTCCAAATACATCTTATCTTTAGTCACTGAAGTAGTTGAGATGATGGTTATTTGGTGGGAGAAAAGAGATTAATCGAGGAAAATATAAAAAGGAAAACAGTATATAATTACAATTAGCAAAAGTTCTGAACACCAAATACAGACTTAGTCTGTAGATTTCAAAATGATATAGATAGAAGATAGCCCTTGAAAGCAACTGGCTGTATTATAAATCGAAGCAAATATTAACCCACATGGAAGAGAGTAAATTTTGTAGCTCAGTACTCGCAAGAGGGGACACATTTCTTCTCTCAGTAACATCTGTGGAGCGCCTTTATTTTTCCAGCTACTGTCCTAGGCCCCAGTGAAACAGCAGTAAACAACAGACAAACTCTCTGCTCTCTTGTGGAAATTATGTCCTGGACGGGGACAGACAATGAAAAAATAACATAGGTAAAAATAAATTACTTAGAACAAGGAGGATTTAAAAATTGGGAATGGTAGATTCAGAGTCCACATGCCACTCCCCATTTCTCATGCTATTAGGGAAAACCTCACTAGTCAAACAGGGCTTTTTTTTTTCCCCCTGTCAAGCCCAATGTGTCTCCACAATTTTTCTTTTTCTTTTTTTTTTTTTTTTCTCCACAATTTTTCTTAATGCATTGCATTGGGTATGGACTTTTTTTTTAAAGATTTTATTTATTTATTTGACAGAGACACAGCGAGAGAGGGAACACAAGCAGGGGGAGTGAGAGAGGGAGAAGCAGGCTTCCCGCGGAGCAGGGAGCCTGATGTGGGGCTCGATCCCAGGACCCAGGGATCATGACCTGAGCCGAAGGCAGACAGACGCTTAACCACTAGGCCACCCAGGAGCCCCTGGGTATGGACATTGGAAGGTAGGGGAGCCAGTTAAGTGTCTGTAACATCACTATGTATGTGGGTGCAGTGTGTGTGTATTTATTAGGGGAGGAGAGAGCATTAATAACTTTCAGCAAATTCTCAAAGGAGTCCATGACCTCAAAAGGGTTAAGAATTGCTCATTTAAAGCCTCTTCTTGATGACACAGCCATGGGAGGACACAGTCAGTTGGAGGACAAATGCCATGTTCTCCTAAAATACCTCCTGACATCACAGTCAGGGCAGGGATCTCACCAAAATTCCCATTTCTCATTTCTCCTCCATCACCATTCACTGTTCACCTGTATTTATCAGCTGGGAAAACAGACGAAGAGACTCTTTGGAGAGGCCTACAAGGGCAGACACTCTGCTTCTAGCCCATGCTGACAAAGATGTGTTATGCACCCAGACTCCCTTCCCCATTTCTAAGCTTCTTCAGATGTAGGACAATGCCTGTCATTGCAGTAAGGATGATCTTACTCCAAGGACTCTAGCCCTGTGTTGCCAAGTGAAGTCAACAGAACTTGGAAACCTGCATGAGAGTTTCCAGAACAAGGATCAAACCTTTGAAGTAGTTTCCAGCTTTTCTTTGTTGGTACAAGCACACAACTAAAAGGTAAATTCTAGACAGCTCTTCCATGGGGCAGCGCCTTCACCATAAACCTCAAAAAGTGACAAAAGACTGTGGCAGACTATTAGACTTCCCCTTTTGGCACAGATGTATTTCTTTGAGGCTACAAGTTGAGACAATAAACTCTCAGAGAAGACTTTCAATTCTGAAAGCTGTCCATTCTGAAATGTGTCCACGAGGCACCAATAGCCGGCTTGGGGGGGAGGCCTACAGTTAGACAGATGTCCTGGCTCTGTGTCTTCCTATCAGTGTATCCCCAGGCCATGGCTTCATTTCTCTGAGGCTCAGTTTGCCCATCTATAAAAGAGGAATGATATCAACCTTCAGCCTCGCTGGAAGGGTTGGAAATAATGTGTGAGAAAGCATCCAGCAGAGTGCTCAATACTCAATAAACGATCGAGGCTAAGAAAATCATCGCCATCATCAATTCCACAGGACATTTTGATGCTTATTATTGCAGACCACATATGAGATTGACTAGGAGAGAGTCATTTTCATCTAAGTGCTTACAATCAGCCCACACACATCTCAAATATATATATATATATATATATCTTATATATTACCTCCTCCTTTTTAAAAGATTTTATTTATTTATTTGACAGAGAGAGAGAGAGCGAGCAAGCACAAGCGGGGGGAGAGGCATGCAGAGGGAGAGGGAAAAGCAGGCTCCCTGTAGAGCAGGGACCCCGATACGGGGTTCGATCCCAGGATCCTGGGATCATGACCTGAGCCAAAGGCAGACGCTTAAACCACTGAGCCACCCAGGTGCCTACCTTCCTCTTTGAAGCTTTCCAGCATTGATCCAGGACAAGTGTGTTATATTTTTTTTCTGAACTAGATCGTGCACTGTTTATACAATATAATTTAGGACTTTAGTAGGCACTGTTTTGTGTTACATGATTATTTTCTCAATAGTAGAGTTATTTCTCCATCCAAATATAAAATGTGTGAGGAAAGGGCTGTGTCTTACATGCCTTGTATTCCCTGAAGCAGCTAGCACAATGCTTAACTGAATCATGCAAGAAATTGAGTAAAGTTCTTTAGTAGATAGGCATCTGTCTAAATTAGAAAGAAATGCCTACATTCTGCACCCCCACTCCATCTCTTTCCTCCGGTTAGTGTGTTGTCTTAGGGAAAAATGAATACGAATATGAGTATAATTGTGTGTCCGTAGGGGTCACTAAGACCAATTTCTCTGTTTCTTCCTTTCTTATATATGTGTATATATGACATATTGAACTACATTCTGAAGGGGTTCATAGCCTTGACATAAAGGTTCATTTCCAAGTTCAACAAGCCCTTAAGAATTCCCAGCTATATTCCAGGACCTGTGCACAAGGCCAGAGATAAGCCCACTTCTAAGGCACTGTCCTAGATCTCATGTTGCTACCAATGTAATGAGGAAGACAGAAAGAAACAAATTAAATTTTTTGTGTGTGCTTAAGAAATGTACAGGAGGTATTATGAGAGAAGTTAGTAAGGACATCAAGAAAGGCTTCTTGGAGGAAGTGATTACAGAGCTAAGTCTATAAAGGAGAGTAGACGTTGGCTACCTGACATGGGAAGGGTTGGAAATGGAGGAGAAGGCATTTGAGGAAAGGGAAACCATGAGCAAAGGCGTGGCATCCTAAAATGGTGTGGTATGTGCAGGGAATTATAAAGAAGCTGCTCAAGGTTGCTGGACTTCAAAGTGAACATTATATAAGGATAATAAATGTGCCTGGAGCGGGGCAAGCACAGGGTCCTCATCACAGCAGACCTCTCATGCTATGCTAATAAGGAACTTGGTCTTGATCCTGTCAGCGATGGAGAGCCATTGAAAGTAAAGGAGGCTCATGAACAGTTTTGTGTTTTACTCTACAGTTTACTCTGGTATCTGTGTTGGTGGGTTTTTTGGGAACAAAACCAGTTTGGAGACGGCGTAGGCCTGAACTAAAGCACTCGTGGGAGGGATAGACAGAGGTTAGCAGCTGAAGAAATACTTAGGTGAAGTTGGCATGACTTGGTGATTGGAGGGATGTGAAGGATGAAGGTGAGGAGGAGGTTTCTTGCAATGTTTCTTACAGGTTTCTTGCAAGAATGACAGGGTCCTTGGTGGTATCATCAATATAGAAAATACAAAAAAAAGAGATGTCTTGGGGGAAGTTATGGCTTGAGTTTGGACATGTTGAATTTGAAAACAACTGTGCCATTTCTAGGAGGTGATTTTTGACAGAAAGATATATAAGCCTGGATTTCAACTTTAAACTAATGATTTATACTTCATCAGGCTATAGATAATAATTTGAACCAGGTTACCAAAACTGTGGTCTGTGCATCTGCAGATGGGCATCACCCAGGAATTTGTTAGAAATGCAAATTATCAAGCCAACTCCAGACCCATGATATCAGAATCTCTAGGACTGGAGTCAGGAATCTGTTTTAAAACACTGCAGGTAAGTTGTGACATTTGAGAAACATTGGTTTAACCCGTATAAATGGATGAGACCACCCTGAGAGAGTATAAAAAGAGAACTTGGCCACATCTAGGAAAATCCTGTTTTACGCAAGCTCTACTTTCAATATATAACATGCTGACTACTTCTCATCTCCTCTGCTAGCAGCTTAACCCTACCATCACCATGCCTCTAGAGACTTTTATAACAGCTCCTTTGTATATTTTCCACTTCCATAATAGCCTCACGCTTTATTCTCCTCAGAGTAGTCAGAGTAAGAAGCACACTCATGACCAGATCATTCCTTCCATCTGAAACTTCTAAGGACCTTTTACCCATTTATAATAAAATGGAAGCATTTGCCATGGCCTGCAGGTGTTCTCATTGTGGTAGCCAACCTCCAAGATGGCCCCAGTGTGTGTCAGGCTTGGTCTGTGGGACCAATAGAGCATGGCAGAAGTGATGCTATGTCAGTTCTGAGGCTGTGTTATAAAAGACATCGTGCCTTCTCTCTTGATCTCTTGGATCAATTGTTCTGTGGAAAGCTAGGTGCCATGTCATAAGGACACTGAGGTGACATGTAAGCAACATTGGTCTACATGGTGAGAAATGAGGATTTCTGCTAACAGCCGTGTGAGTGAGTTATTTCCTACAGGAAATGAATCCTCCAGCTCCAGATGACTGTAGTCCCAGCAGCCTATCACCTCATGAAAGACGGAGCAGGAACCACACAGCTACACTACTCCTGAACAGACCCTCAGAAACCGTGGGATATAACAGATGTTCACTGTTAGGAGCTGCCAATTTCGAGGTAATTTTTATGTTATTCAATAACTGGTGCACTCATAATCTGGCCCCTTGCACCACTCCAGACTCCTCTCCCTACTCTTTTGTTCTCGCCATTCTAGTCCCCTGCTCCCCTGCTAATCCTTAGAGGAGAAGTAGGTTCCCATTTCAGGAGGTATTGTCTCTGCAGGAATGCTCTCCTCCCAAAGAGCCATACTTGATTCATTTCCTCATTGTGGTTTTAGTTTGTGTTTCCCTAATGGAGGATTATGGCGAAATCTATTTATGTGCTTATTGCCATCTGTATATTCTCTTTAGCGAAATGTTTATTTGTATTTTTGGTCCATTTTCTAATTGACATGTTTGCCTTTTGAGTATTGAGTTTTGAGAGTTCTTTGTATATTCTAGAGAGAAATCTCTTGTTGGGTGTGTAATTTGCAAATATTTGCTCCCCGCTTGTATTTGGTCTTTTTATGCTCTTAACAGGGTTTTACACAGAGCAAAAGTTTTAATTTTGATGAGGTCAAATATATCAAATTTCTCTGTTAAGAACTTTTGCTGGCAAGTCTAAGCAAGTCTCTTTGCTTAGTCCAAGGCCTTGAAGAGTTTCTCCTCTTTTTTTCCTAAATCTTTATAGATTTATGTTGTACATTTAAGTCTGTGATACACATTAAGCTAGTTTTCATACAAGCTGTGGCGGTTAGGTGTGGAATTTTAGGTGCATAAAGTGTGAGATTTAAGATTCACTTTTTTTTATTTTGTTTTTTTTTATGATGTCCATGGACAAAATGTCAATGCTCAGCACCATTTGTCCAGGCTTTAGATGTTCATTCTCCAGCACCTTTTGTTGAACAGGCTATCCCCCCTCCATTTAATTGCTTTTGCACCTTTGTCAAAAGTTAATTGGGCATATTTGTGCCAGTCTACACTTGGCTTCTTTACTTTGTTTCACTGATCCGTGTGTCTATCACTCTGTCCATACTGCACTGTCTTGACTACTGTTGCTATACAGTAAGCTTTAACATTAGGAAGAGTGATTCCTTCCCACCCTACTTTTCTCTTTTTCAAAATTTGTTTTGGATATGCATTTTAGAATAAACTTATCTATGTCTACAGAAAACCTTGCTGGAATTTTGATAGGAATTGCAGTAAACATCCATCAATTTAGTGAGAATTGATATCTTTATTATGTTGAGTCTTCTAATCCATAGCATGGTATGTTTTTTCAACTATTTAGGTCTGCTTTGATTTCTTTTAAATTAGATTTTGTAGGGCGCCTGGGTGGCTCAGTCAGTTAAATGTCTGCCTTTGGCTCAGGTCATGATCTCAGGGTCCTGGGATCGAGTCCCGCATCAGCCTCCTTGTTCAACGGGGAGCCTGCTTCTTCCTTTGCCTCCACTCCCCCTGCTCGTGCTTGCTCTCTCTCTCTCTTTTAAAATCTTTTTTAAAAATTAGACTTTTTAGTTTTTAACCATACAAATCTTGTGCATGCTTTGTCAGATTTACACCTAAGTATTTCATTTTCTTTAGAGCAATTATGAATGATGTTACTTTTTAAGTTTCAGTTTCCATTTATTCATTGTTATGTATAAATGCAATTGATTTTTCTGTATTAGTCTAATACACTTCAACCTTGCTGAACTCACTTATTAGTTATAGGATAGTTTTAAAATGCAGATTCCTTAGGATTTTTCTATGTAGACAATCATGCCATCTGTTAATAGAAACAGCTTCATTTCTTCATTTCCAAACTATATGCTTTCTATTTTTTTCATGCCTGATTGCATTGGCCAGAACTTTCAGTACCATGTTGAATAAGAGTGATGAGAGCACACATCCTTGACTTGTCCCTGATCTTAGAGAAAAAGCATTCAGTCTTTCACAATTAAGTATGAGGTTAACTGTCGGGTTTTGTTTGTTTGTTTGTTTGGCTGTTTTTTTGTGTGTTTTTTTGAAGATGCTCTTTATAAGTTCCCCTCCATTTCTAGTTTGCTGAGAGTTATCATAAATGGGCACTGGGTTTTGCCAAATGCATTTTCTGTGCATTTCTATGTCAACTGATATGATCGTATGATTTTTCTTTTTAGGCTGTTGATATAGTGCATTATGTTAATTGATTAGGCTTTAAATAGTCTTGCGTACATGGAATAAATCTCACTTGATCATGGTGTATTATTATTTTTATATATTCCTGTATTTGAGTTGCTAATATTTTGTTAAGGATTTTTACATCTAAACTTATGAGACAGATTGGTCAGTATTTTTCCTTTTTACTATCTTTGGTTTTAGTGTTAAAAATTTTTACGAGGGTAAAACTGGCCTAATGAAATGAGTTGAGAACTGTTCCCTCTTCTCTATTTTCTGAAAGGGAGTATTGTATTTTTAATTAATAAGTTATTTTTTTCAAGATTAACAATGTTGTTCTGGAAAATGCATAAATATCATGGGATAGTAGGAGAAGGAGGAGACAGCTTTGTACCTTCCTTCTTCACATTTAGGGTGTTCCTCTCTGGAGTCCGCTGTGTATTAATCAGAGTGGGAATCTCAGTCTAGGAGAATCCAAATGTAGAGGAAATGTGTCTTTGATGTGTGTCTTCCTACTCAAAGGTATTTTAAGAAACACTAAAGAAGGATTAGAGATTAGCACTTGTGTAAGGAGCTTATAGGACAGCTAAAATTTTAATTACTTTCTAATTACTTAGTACCTGCCCTTTAACTCTCTTTCTGTATGTGATTAATACTTTCCCATCTTTCAGCAAGTATCAAGAACCAAGAATTATAGAACTATGAAACATAATTTTTAAAAGGAGTTTTATGATATTTCGTTTTTAAATTTGCATACAGTAAAACTCATTCTCTGTGTGTTTTGACCAATGCATGGAGTTGTAGATCCACCACTACAATTAAGATACCAAATAATTTCATCACCCTTTAAAATCCTTTGCGTTGTCCCTTTACATGCAGTCGACTTCTCTCAACTCCTGGCCGCTACTGATTAGTTCTCCAACCTCATAGTTTTGTCTTTTGTGAATGTCATTAATGAAATCAGATACTATCAGAGCCTTTCAACTCTGGATTCTTTCACTGAGGAAAATGTGCTTCATATTCATTGATGTCATTACATATACCAATAATTCTTGTTCTTTTCCCAGCAAGGTTTCTGCTGGCTTTATTTCTTATGTCTTTGAAATCTTAGTGTGTCCAGCACAACCAAGGTTCATCCAGAGAAATGTCTTGGTCATCAATCACCTTGTTTAGAGCCATGTGACTCCATTACCTGGTTGATGAGATCAGAGATAGACAACTGATCAAAAGTCAGCCCTGATGAGGCTAGCCAATGACCAGTTAAGTAACCTGGTAGACTCGTTCTTTCTCACTGAGGCAGTGTGTACTTACTGCTGATGATGAGCCAGGCAACTCAAATCCTCTAAGACTCAGTGACAGCAGGAGTAGTAGAGGAACAGCTGGAAAGAACAGTCCCTTGGAACAGGGAATAATGGATACAGTCCCTGAAGATACAAACTGACCAGATTTTTAGAACGTCACAGTGTCTTGAACCATGTTTAAGTCTCCACAAGCCCTGCTGAATGTGGTTGAGTTTCCTGTCTTCCACACATCCCCTTGTATCCCACACTTTCTCTTTTTTTGTTTTTTCTTTCTAGATGTTCAAAAATTTCTTTTTTTCATTATCATTTCCTTTCTGTTTTAAGAACTTCCTTTGTCATTCTTTTAATGTAGGTCTTCTGGTGATAGATTGTCTTAGTCTTCCTTTATTAGGATGTCTTTATTTCCCTTCCTTCCTGAAGGATAAATTCACAGACAGAGGTGACAATTCTATTTTTATCAGGACTTGAAAAATGTTGTGTTACTTTCTTCTGGCCCTGTGGTTTCTGATGAGAAATCCTCCGTCATTCCATTTTTCTACCTCTAGGTAAGGTGGTATATGTATATATATATACATATATATATATATTTAAATTGATTTCAAAATTTGTTCTGTCTTTAGTTTTGTCATTTGATTATGATGTGCTTTGGCATAGATTTCTTTGGGTTTATCCCATTGGAGTTTGATAGCTTCTTGATTCCATAGGCTTATGTCTTTCATCAAATTTAGGAAATTTTCAGTCACTATTTTTTCAAGTACTTGTTTTAGCCTCATCCTTTTCTTCTCTCCTGGAACTCTGATGACATGAATGTTAGATCTTTTAATTTCTGAGGTCTCTGAGGTGGTGGTGGTGGTTGTTGTTGTTGTTCTTCTTCTTCTTCTTCTCTTCTCCCTCCTCCATCTCCTTCTTCTTTTCTATTTATTTTCTCTCTTTTGATCAGATGGGGTATTTCTGTTGTTCTAGTTTCAGGTTCACTGATTCTTTCTTTTGTCTTTTTTCTGTTGTCAAGCCCATCCATTGAATTTTTTATGCTGGTTATTGTATTTTTCAGTTCTAAAATTTTCATTTTATTCTTCTTTAGGGACCTTGTTATTGCTGAATAGTGGTTAAAATTCCCCACTTGGCCTCCTCTGACACCATTCTGGTAGGAAGGAAGAGGGTACCTCATTATCACTGGTTGGAGATGAAGGTCTAAGATCCCCATGTGACCTTCTCTGATACTACTCAGGTGGGGGTGGGGTAGGGCTACCTAATTATAGCTGGGCCAGGATGGAAATCTGGTTACTCAACTTGTGCTGATGGGGTTGATATTGGCCTCCCCCCACCCCCACCATGATGTTGGATTTGTTGATGTTGGATTTGTTTCCATGGCATAGGGTGATTTTTGTCTAATTATTTCTGCCTTACTAGATTACATCTTCTCTGGTCATTTGTCTAGAAAGAGTAGGCTTTTTGAGAGGATTTTTTTTTTTTTTTTTATCTGCTTCTGTTTGTGTTTCTGGGTTGCTGCCTCTCTTGCCTCTAGTTCAGGATATACAAAACTAACAGAGAACTCAAGGAATTTACTGCCACATTGTTCCTAGGGCACTAAATTCCCTATTTGGTCTCTCTTCTTCTCTTGACCTTTTAAAATACTCTT